AAATTTCCAAAAGTCAAAGTAAAACAAAAAAGGTCATGAGTTACATTATAACTAACCTTCTAGTAGAGGGAATCTCATATTGATAAAACTAGATGGTCTTCTACTTTTTTTTTTTAAAGATTTTATTTACTTATTTGTCAGAGAGAGAGAGAGCACAAGCAGAGGGAGAAGCAGACTCTCCACTGAGTAAGGAGTCCGATGTGGGACACGATCCCAGGACCCTGGGACCATGACCGGAGCCGAAGGCAGATGGTTAACGGACGGAGCCACCCAGGTGTCCCTACTCTTTTATTGTGATAAAATATTCATAACATAAAATTTACCACTTTAACCATTTTTAAATGTGCAGTTCTGTGTCTTCAAGTACATTCACATTGTTCTGCAAGCATCACCATCATCCATGTCCAGGACTTTTTCAACATCCCACAGTGAAACTCTGTACCCAATAACCCCCCACGAACCCCATCACCCCCTTCCCACAGCCCCTGGTAAACTATTCTACTTTCTATTTGTATTTGACTATTCTAGGAATCTCATCTAAATGGAAGTTTTCTATTTTTTGAAATAAGCTTTGTTCTTTCTTTAAACATTACAATAAGAAAATTTGTTTAAAAACACTGACAGTAAACCTAGAGGTTTTTTAAAAGGATAATTAATGTTGGAATGCATGTTGATATGTGCAGATGAAAGGCACTGAAGAAATAAGTCATTATTACAGATGATGATCACTACGAAAGCTTTTCTTCACTTTGTAAAAGGAACTCTGCATGAAAATGTATATACGTGAATATAAATGAAGACATGTCTGCATAAGATTACTGCTCATAAAGATTATAAATAATGATACCAAAATTTTAATGAATATCAGAAATCTCGCCAGTATAGTAGATTCTTGACTTTGTCACTAGCTTGCCACTTGGCCTGGGCTTAGTGGCTGATCCTCTTAAGTCCCTCCTATCTTCATCTGTAAAATGCAGATCCTAATAAGAGCAGTCCTTCCTACATCATAGAGTTGGTGGGAAGATCAAATAAGATCATTAAAGTGAAAGGGTTTTGGAAAATACGAAGCCCTGTAGAAACATGGGGCATTATTAAAGACTGTGGAGAGATTGCTAACACAATTTGATTCAAGGCCAAAGTTTTGTACTTCCAAAAGTTAAAAAGATATTCAGTATTTGCAAATTATTTAGAAAACCAAATTCTTGCTTTGGTGACCCAGTACCATGACTGAACTGTGTTCTAAATGCCGTACATTTGATACCTACTGCTCTACGTCACCTAACCACATTACCGAACTAGATTAATTGTACAGAATTTCAGCAGTATCTTCCCAGTTTTTGGTGGGTAAGAAGTCATAAATCCACATAGCTTAAAGTCATGTCTCCACAGGAAGCTGTCTATGTTTTTGTTTTTTTACTTTTCCGTGGCGGCCACAGTGCTGCCCTCTGTAACGTATCTACTATGGGCGGCCGGCTGCAATGTGACTGAACAAGCATTTATTGAGTGCTTATAGTGTGCAAGGCATTTGCAGTAGAGATGGTGCCAGGGGAAGGATGGAGGTAGTGAGAGAAAATGCAAAGAGAAAAGGGGTATCCCTGAATTGAGTGAGCTTTAATGCTGGTGGGGGATGGCACATCCTGTGACAACTAGAAAGAAAATGAAATCAATGCCAAGAAAAGCCTTGAGGACTACACCGTGGGAGTTCCAGAGGTTCAGAGGGTTAATTCATTCAACCTAGGAGGGTAGAACCTCATGACATTTGTCCTAGGCCCTGATGCATGAGAAGGATTCCTTGGTTCTGAAATAGAGGGGAGCTATTTCAAGCCTGAAGGAGCCATACCTAGTATCCCACAAATAAATATTCACCTACTAAACCACTTGGGTGATGTGCTTGTGACTCTACAAAGCCACAGCTGGGTGGTTTAGGGGTTAAATCCCAGGTTCTCATTCGAAAGCACCAGCCTGATGGCATTCCACGGTTCCAGGAGGACCACTGGGAGAGCAGGCATACAACACCCTGGCAAACGGCACTCCATTTCAGCTCCATAGAGTTGCAAAAATCGACCAGATGGGGGTTCCAGATTTAAACACCCCACACCCAGCTAGAAAACTCTTCCACACCCCTGTTCCACCTGCAGGTTTCTAAGCTCGCTTCTACTCCTGTCCCAGTTTTCACAGATGCAACATTAGTCTTTCCATTTAGAGTTTGTTTTTTTCTGGGATTACATTTTCCCTTTCCAGTGCATTACTATTAGATTATTTTTCCCTTTCGCAAGTGTATAAGACCATTCTTCTAACCATTATCATACTATTAGCTAACATTTATTGAGATCTTACCTTGGGCCAGGCAATGTGCTTTGTATATTGCAGCATGTCCCTTACATGGTGCAGGAAATATGACTAGAGTTGACCCTTGAAAGACTCAGGGATTAAGGCACCTACCCTTCCCACCCTTCCCTGCACAGTAAAACATCCACCTATAACTTTTGATTCCCCCCAGACTTAATTACTAATAGTCTATATTGACTGAAAGCCTTACCAATAACATAAACGGTCATTTAACACACATTTTGTCTATGTATTATATACTGTATTCTTAGAGTGAAGTAAGCTAGAAAAAAGAAAATGTTATTGAGAAAATTGTAAGGAAGAGAAAATACATTTATAGTACTGTATTTTAAAAAAAATCCATGTATTAGTGAACCTGTGCAGTTCAAACCCATGTTGTTCAAGGGCCAACTCTATTTCTATTTTATAAAGAGGAAAAGAGGGCGCCTGGGTGGCTCAGTTGGTTAAGCGACTGCCTTCTGCTCAGGTCATGATCCTGGAGTCCCAGGATTGAGTCCCACGTCGGGCTCCCTGCTCAGCAGGGAGTCTGCTTCTCCCTCTGACCCTCTTCCCTCTCATGCTCTCTATCTCTCATTCTCTCTCTCTCAAATAAATAAATAAAATCTTTAAAAAAAAATAAAGAGGAAAAGAGGCCTACAGAGGTCAAGTGACTTGTCCTAAGTCAACCGGCTAGTTCAGCGGTGGAGTCCAGTGTTAAAGTCAGGACACACACCATCTGTACACTAAACCCTGCACTGCATTATCCCTATCCCCTTGCTTTTCCCTTCAATATCAACAGAGAATTTTTGTGAAATTTGCATGTCATTTACATGCAAAGTATTTTGAAGAATGGCAATCTACTACAATAGGTAAAGAGGAACAAGCTTCTGCTGGTTTGATATGATCATGTTAACTAAGATTTATTCAGTACTTCCTCTGTGCCAGGCACTCTGCTATACACATGTACTTTCTCATTTTAACCTGCACAGTAGCCTTAGAGAGGAGCATTATCTGGTACCATCTCTTTTACAAATGAGCCAAGTGAGGCACAGAGGGGTTAAGTAACTGGCTGAAGGTCCTGTTAGGAAGTGGAGGGGGGGGCAGTATTTGAACTTTGGCCATTTAATGTCAGGGCTCTAGCTTTTAACCTCTGAGCTTTCTGACCTTTTGCAATGAGGGCCCCAGCAAGACTCTTCCTCAAAATTTCTCCCCCACCTGTCTTGCCCAGAGCCTGAAGTGAGACTCCTTACACCCTCCCTAGCAGGTGTTGCTATTTCTCTTCTGGGAGGAGTGACACTTGGAACAGGGAGAATTGAGTTCCTTCAAAGCCTTGTACCAAGAATGCAGGACACCCAAATGTGAGCAAGATCCAGGGCCTGCCTTCCCCGTTGGAGAGGGGCAGGAAGGAGATAACCAAGGCACACACAAACAACATTGAAAGAGAGATAGCAGATACATGAGTCAGACCACTCCCCTGCTTAAAGCCATTCACCAGCTGCCCTCGCCAATGGACACAGTCCCTCAGCAAGACAGGCATGGCTCCTCTTCTGCATCTACCTCTGTAGCTTCATCTCTGCCTCACTGTCACACACCCTGTGCAACATAGGACAGGCATCTGTTATGTCCTTGCCTGCTTCTCTGCAGCTCCTCCGTCTGCCTTGCTTAACAGCCTTCCTTCAAGACTTACCTTGGTCACGTCTGTATTTAAACTTGGCCTCCTCTCCCAGTGTTTGAGACTCTACAACACTTTGCACAACTATTCTAGCTGTTATTACACTAAATTGAAATTATTTGCAAATATGTCTCTTCAAAGGCAAGATGAGTGATTATTCGTCGTTTGCATCCCCAGTGCCCACCCAGCACAGGGACAGAGGAGACTCTCAAAGCTTGGGTGAAAGCCAGAATACACACATAATGTAGCACAGGGATTCCTGGGCCAGGTGAGCAGCCCAGCACCCAGCACCCAGTACTGAGGTCTTGGGGATCAGCATTTGCAAGTTTGAGAGAAGGAAGATTTTTGGAAGAACTGAAGGCAGACCTGGGCCACCCTCAGTTGGATGGACAACACAAATGGGGGAGATGAGGAGAAAGGAGAAGGCCTTAAGGTTTACCTCTTCCAGAAGCTTGCTTGAGCTGGCCCCATCATTGGTTAACATTTTTTAATTGGCCCTGATATAATCCAGGTATTATTGGCTACTTTTAAAGCACCACTACATTTAATCTTACAACTTGTGAAGTATTTTTATCTATTTTATACGTCCAGGGCGGTTAAAACATCTTGATCCCACCCGCTTTCCGGTGTGATGGTTGACCTCGCTCTCTGAGGGGTTCTTTGCGCGCCACCGTTTTGGGCTTCGGGGACTCCTAACGCACAGCGGTCAAAAAATAACTGCTGAACTCTTTATGTACACAGTAGAAAAGTTGTTTGAGGGCAAGGTGCACTTGAACAGGCCGGGCGGGGAGGGCCAAGGGGGACAGAAGCAGCAGCACCGGAGCAGGGTAGGTGCGAGAAGGGCAGGGGAGCCGGCTGGAGTGCCCGCGCGCCGGGGGCGGGGCGGGGCGGGGCCGTGCGGGGCGGGGCACGGGCGCCACGCCATTGGTCGGCGCGCCCGGGAGCCGCCCCTGCGCGCCTGCCCGCCCCCCGCAGGAAGGGGCCTGCCCTCGCAGCCCCGCGCTGACAGCGGCGGGGCAACACCTGGACGGGTGCGGGGCGGAGCCCGGGGTGCATTTTCTGGGGGAGAGAAGGTTCCCCGAGCCGGGTCCGGAGGAAGGTAACGCGCCGCGCCGAGGGTTTCGGGGTTTGCACCACCCTACTGGGTCTGCGGACTCGAGGACGCGGGGAGGAGGCGAGATGCTCTCCCTTCCCCACTGCGACTCACAGCAGCGGGGTTCTAGTCTCTCTCTGCCCACTCGATGTGTTATCTCGGGCAACTTTCTTTCCCTCTCCGGGTCTTTGTTAAATGAGGGAGGTGTTGGTGTTGGCTGATGCTTTGTCGTGTTCTGAGTTCTAAACCGCGAGCAGTGTTTTGGCATCCGGCAAGCTCCCTTCTTCAGATCCCCACCTATAAGAGCCAGCTCCGCTGCCCAGGGAGCCCAGTCTTCGGGAAGCCGAGGTACCCGGTAGGCGGGGGTTCTGCTGGGCTGTCGCGTTTCCCGGGGCTTTTGAGAACTGACCCTGGGCTTTGGGCTGGCTGTTGGCGGGACCTGACCGCAGAGTAACTGCCCCCAGGTGGCTCAGATGAAGTAAAGTAGGGCGTTAGGACCGATCTACAGGTGGGGTGCTGGGAAGGGGGAGTTGGGGGCTGATGATTTTTTACTTGGAAAACAAGCAGTTTTTGTTTTGGAATTATTTTCCTACACCCAGACCTCGTCCTGTCATGAGTTCTAAATCACAGGAATGGGATTTATCATCTTCCAGGATGGAAAACCAACTGCTTCAGCAACCAGGACATAGGGCTCTATCAGCAGTGGGCCTCTCTCCCCACCCATCCTGTTTCCTTCCGCTTCCCTTTCCTCCCTCCTGACTTTATAAATCCCCTTGGACTTTGAGGGGCTCCATTTTCTGTCTGAATGAAAAGTGCTAATTTTCATTTAGTGCTGGTTTGTGACCAGCAGCCCCTAGAGCTTTTTGGGCTCTGGGTTGAGATGGAAGCTGGATAAGAGCAGACTGTGGATCATACTCTCAGCCTCCTGAACCCATACAGCCTGGCAGGGATGTGCAGAAGAAGCCCAGTAGGCTTCAGACAGACAGACATGGGAAGGTGGATGGACTCAAACTGCTGTCCAGCTTCCTGGCCCCTTCTTGGCAGCCATTCCCAGGGAGGGAATGGTGGCCCCAGCAGCCAAACAGAGGATGACTGAACGGAGTTGAGGACTTTGATGGGGGGGGGTTTACTGTGGAAGGTCTCCAGGTACTCCCTCCTCTCCCTTTACTCCTGTAGTCCTTCTGCCCCCTTACTGTGGTGTCTGGGTGAAGTCAGATGCCAGGACCTGTCAAGAGTGATGGAGAAGGAGGCAGGGCAGTGACAAAATTGACTGTGTTTATTGAGCATTTATGGGCCAGACATTCTTCTTTGCATATCATGTGTCTTTAGTTCTCACAAAGCCATATGAGGAAAGGTATACTGACATTTACCCCGTTTTACAAATGAGAAGCTGAGACTCAGAAAGATTGCTTCCCTTAGTCACATAGCTAGTAAGCTACATAGCTGGGATTCAAATCTAGTCTCTGTGATTCTAAAACCTGTGTTCTTTCCACCTTTCCTGGTGCTGCTTGAGTAAGGGCAAACTGGAATCATAACAGCAAGAATGATTATTACTGAGTTCTCAGTAGGTGCCAGACACTGTTCAAAGCAGTTTTAGAGGAGTTACACCATTTATGGTGCAGGAGTTTCGGTCATTCTGGTGGGAATTAGTGACTGCTTTAGCCTCTCTCAAGCAGCAGTCCTGTTCCAGAACGCCTGCCTGATTCTCCCCAGCTGCTAGTGAGTGAGTGGGCCAGGAGCCCTGTTTTCTTTATGCTAGAGGTGGTTTGAGGTCTAATGAAAGATTGATTGTCCACATCTGATCCGCTGGACCTGACCGTTGGCTTGTGAATGATCCCACTGTCCCCTAAGAGGCCTTTCTCAGGCTTTGCCCAATAAACATTTGTGGAATGAATGAATTAGCACCTTGTGCAGAGTGGTCTGCTATCCTGCCGAAATGGGGCAGCCCGGCCCCACCATCCTCAGAACCCAGGGTGCCAGGCCAGGCCGTTCTCCCCTCTGGGCAAGGGAGGTAGAGTGAACTATGTCCCTGTGGGCTTCCAGATTTGCCTGCTTATATGTTTTCTGCCACCTGTTTTATAAAGAATTTTAAAGTTATAGTAGATGAAGAAAAGATTGATTTTTTAAAAACAGGAAAAGTGACAGTCTCTCTCAAAAAGGGGGGTAAATAAGATGGTACTGTTTGCCTTAGGGCTTCTCAAACTTCTCCATAGAAGAATCTCCAATAATGAAACTGACAAGCCCTTCTAGGGGTTGGGGTATTGACCCCAGCAAGCCTGAAAATTGTTTTAAGAATTTATGTGATTTTTTTTCATGTGGTTTCATATGTTGAACTTGGTTTCAATATATAAAACAAGTTTCCCCCCCAAAATATTTGTGTAAAATTGGTGTCCTGGCATATTGTTTTAAATTCTTGGGGGCTGAGAGTATCAAATGGAGAAGTAGGGCAAAGGTTCTGGTCTGGGGGTTTGGGTACTATTTACGTTTTTAATGCACTTAGTTTACAGTAATAGAGCTTCCCAACCCCTTGTGGAGATAACCCCTTTCCTATTTATCTGAATGAAGAATGTGTTTTAAAAATAAAAAAAATCTTTATTGTTTGATCCGCCCACCAGTTTTATTAAGATATAAGTGGAATATAACATTTTATAAGTCTATGATGATTTCATACGTGTATATATTGCTACTATTTTTTTGTAGTGAGAACATTTAAGAATTACTCTCTAGCAACTTTCAAATATATAATACAGCACTGTTAGCTATAGTCGCCATGTGGTATATTAGATCCTCAGAAATTAAGTCATCTTATAATTGGAAGTTTGTACCCTTTGATGAACATCTCCCCATTTCTCCACTCCCTGGTCTCTGGTAACCACCATTCTAGTCCCTGTTTCTGTGAGTTCAGCTCTTTTAAGATTACACATACAAGTGACAAGTGAGATCATTATTTGTTTTCTTATTACCAGAGCTGTATATATATTCACTGTAGAAAAAAAATACAGATTAATAATAATAAGAATACATCCATACTCAGAAATAACTAAGGCAAAACTTGGGAGCTAGCCTTTCAAATATTTTTCTCTGTGTCTATATGAGTAAAGTTAAAAAAAAAAGGGGGGGGGAACAAATGATGAGGCCCCTGGCTGGCTCAGTCAGAAGAGCATGTGACTCTTGATCTTGGGGTTGTGAGGTTGAGCCCCACGTTGAGTGTAGAGCTTGCTAAAAAATAAATAACTTTAAAAAAATAAAAATCTCTGGTGTCTGGGTGGCTCAGTAAGTTAAGCATCTGCCTTCAGCTCAGATCATGATCCCAGGGTCCTGGGATTGAACCCCGCATCAGGATCCCTGCTCAGCCTGCTTCTCTCTCTCCTCTTGCTCCCCCTGCTTGTGTTCTTTCTCTCTCCCTCTCGCTCTCTGACAAATAAATAAAATCTTTTTTTTAAAAAAAGAACTTATAAAAAATAAATAAGATCATCATAAAGGTTAATCCTGTTTGTGAACCCCAAAATCGACCCCGCCCCATAATAAATTCCCTGGTGTCATGGAGTTTCCAGCAGAGGGAAGTGCCTGCTGTGTGTGGAGCTGTTGCTGGCGTTCAGGATCAAGCTGTGTTTCTTGTGAAATGACTCATGTGTCTTAAATGCCTCAAATGTAACTGAAAAGGTAGCTCTTCAGTGTTGTTGAAGTGCAAAATGTGAGCAGAAAACTAAAGCTAAATTGCACAGGGAGGAGCCTTAGATAAGATCATTGCATTTTATTACCTGTGTGACTTTGGGCAAGACACGTAGCTTCTCTGAACTGGTTTTCCCTTCCATAAATTGGAGATAATGACACCTATTCTACCTTCCCCTACCAGAGTCACTCTTGAGGACCAAGTGTCAGGTGAGATTGTTACTTGAATTGCATGCAAGTATATATGCTATTTTTAAAAAGATGTTTAAATGTAGAAAGATCAAAAGTATTGTAGGTCTTTATAAAATGCTGGAATCTAACTCATGGGCTTAACATTTTAGTAGGGCTTAACTATAATGCAAATGCTCTATTGGATTCCTACTCTAAGTTTTCTTTGAAATATATGATTCCTTGATGGCTAGCATCTCGTTGATCTTCATCACAATTCTGAACTGAAAAAAAGGACAGGAAATAGTCCCATTTCACAGAATAAAAGCAGCCTTGCCATTCAAGGGAGCTGTTCATTGGCACAGAGTCCTAGAATCCCAGGGCTTTCTCTAATTGCCTTAAGCAATGCAGAGGTGTACAAGGAAGAAGCAGTGAGAATAGCTGGAAAGACACGGCGCTTGTAAGGGCATGGCTGAATACTGGCCCTTGAGCCACTGCCTCAAGGGCTGCTCCCAGGCATGCATGCTCTCAGCTCCTGGCAGTTCCGGAAGGGCCCTAGCATTGGGAGGCAGGTTTCTCAGCTTCTGTTCCTGCTCCAAAGACCAGCTGTGTAATCTTAGCCATATCTTCTCCTTGAGCCTTGGTTTCTTTATAAAGTGAGGGATTAGGACCAGAGGAGGTACCTTCGAGTCTTAAAAATCTATGATTCTGGTAGTTTTTCATCTATGTCTGCCCAGATGGAACTTTGATAGAGAATTACCGCATCCAGATAAATCAGGTGTGGAGAAAATGTTTCCACTTACTGTTGCTTCCAGCTTTTGGTGTCCCTCATGATATTCTAAGCGTCTCCCCAGCTGACACCCTCATGCAGAAGACACAATCCATAGATCATTGAGAGGAGAATTGTTTCTGCTCATCTATTTGTTACTATTAATCTAAAACCTCCTTAGATTTTTGGGAGGGAGAACTACTTTTGGTAACTTTGGGGAAGGTTGGTTGACAGAAATGTATAGTGAAAGCAGGTTATTTCTAGCAATAGGGCTATGTGTGTACTTGGCCTTGTGCCATGACTTTTGCAGAATGTGGGAGAAGCACACCCTTGAGTGGCTCAGAGCTCAAGGAGAGGGAGATACAGGGAGGAAGGAGGGAGAGAGACAGGAGAGAAC